CTCAAAAGGCAAGCTCCAATCCGGAGCTTGCATAACGTGATAGGAAATGAGAGCTTCCTTGAGTTTTTGAAATGCCTCAAGACAAGCCTCATCAAAGTTAAACACAACATCTTTCTTGAGTAATTCGGTCAAGGGTTTGGTGATTCATGAAATTTTTTGATAAACCTCCGGTAAAAACCGGCATGCCCAAGAAAAACTCTTACTCCCGTAACGGAAGTAGGATGGGGCAACTTCGCAATCACCGAAACCTTGGCCGAATCGACCTCAATGCCCTTCTTTGACACTTTTGGCCTAGGACAATTCCCTCCTCAACCATAAAGTGACATTTCTCCCAATTTAAAACCAAACTCGTCTCTTGACACCTTTTCAAAACTTTTTCAAGATTATAAAGGCAAGAGTCAAAAGACGAGCCACCAACACTAAAATCATCCATAAAAACTTCAATTTCATTTTCAAGAATTTCCGAAAAAATAGAAGTCATGCATCGTTGGAATGTTGAAGGAGCATTGCATAACCCGAATGGCTTCTTCGGTACACAAATGTTCCATATGGACATGTGAAAGTAGTTTTCTCTTGGTTATTTGGGTGGATAGGGATTTGGAAAAATCCGGAATATCCATCCAAGAAACAAAAGAAAGTATGGTGAGAGAGTCTCTCCAACATTTGGTCCATGAAGTGGAGAGGAAAATGGTCTTTCTTTGTATTTTTGTTCAACTTCCTATACTCAATACACATTCTCCACCCGGTCACCGTCCGGGTGGAGATTTCCTCTTCTCCTTCTCCCTTGACAATGGTCATTCCACCTTTATTTGGAACCACGTGAACCGGGCTAACCCACTTGCTATCAGAGATAGCATAAATTATGCCCGCTTCACGCAATTTCAAGATTTCCTTCTTGACAACCTCTTGGAGGTTGGGGTTCAACCTCCTTTGAGGCTCAATCGAGGTGAATTGATCATCCTCAAGATGAATACGATGCATGCACAAAGAGGGGCTAATACCTTTGATATCATCAATGCTATACCCTATCACATTTCTATATTTTCTAAACATAACAAGCAATTTTTCCAAATCAAGACCATCATGGGTAGCATTGACAATAATAGGGTATTCCCCTTCATTTCCAAGATAAGCATATTTTGAAGAGGGGGGAAGGGGTTTGAGTTCTACCTTGGGAGGTGGCTTGGAACTCTCCTCCATTTTCTCCTCTAGTTCAAGCTCTTCTTTATCCTCTTGTTGTTCATGGTCTTCCTCCATTTGAGTTTCCTCCATGGCCATGACAAACTCTTTTGCTTCTTGAGAGTGATACTCTTCCTTGCATGTAAGAGCTTCAACCATTGGATCTTAAGGCTTCATCATAATCCTTCCCAAACGTCCAACTCCTCATTCACAACAACCCTATAGCATTTTTCAACAATGGGGGTCTTGAGCAACTAAGAGAACTCAAACATAATCTTTTCATCGGCAACCTCACATGTAATGGTGTTGTTATTGCAATTGATCACCGCCCCCAAAGTCTTAAGAGCTTCACGGCCAAAAATCAAAGGAGTATCAACATCTTCTTCCATATCCATCACTACAAAATCACAAGGCACATAAATATGTCAAACTTGAATAGGAACATCTTCAAGCTCACCACAAGGCAATTTCAACAAACGGTCGGCCAATTGGATAGTCTTCCTTGTAGGGATCATTTCAATGTTAAGCTTTTGAGCAATGGATAGAGGAATCAAACTAACACTCGCCCCAAGATCGGCTAAGGCACCCCTAGCTTCCATGTTCCCAATCTTTACCGGCAAAGTGAAACTTCTCGGATCTTTTTGCTTCTAGGGCATCTTATGTTGAACAAGTGCACTCACTTGATGGGGAAGAGTGATGAGCTCATCGTTGAGCTTCCTCTTGTTGGTGAGAATATCCTTGAGGAACTTGGAGTATGAAGGCATTTGTGTGACAACTTCGATGAAAGGGAAGGTTGGTGTGCAAATTCTTCATCACACTAAGGAACTTTGCAAACTTGTCATTTAAATTCCTCTCCGCAAGTCGACCGGGAAATGGAACCGGCCCATCGAGATTCCTAGCTTCACTAGGAGTCGAAGTTGTATTCTCATGTTTAAGCTTCTTCTTCTCTATACTTCTTTCTTTATCAACAACCTTCTCTTCTTCAACCTCCTTGTCTTCACCCACACTCTCTTCTCCTCACTATCCCCCTCCTTAGGACCCTCATAGGATGTACCCGATCTCAACGTGATTGCCTTGCAAGAGTCGGGTTTCATGATGTTGGAAGGGTTAGTTTGTGATTGTCCGGGTAGAGTAGAAGGTGAGTTGAAAGGGACTCTCTCGGCCAATTGAGCTAGTTGTGAATCAACCATCTTGTTATGAGCCTTGACCTCTTGCATTTGTTGATTCATGGCTTGAAGTTGTTGAAGAATTTGGGTTTGAGTAGAATCGGGTTGAGATGCTTGCTCTTAACTCCTTTGAGCCGCTTGTTATTGATTGTTGTATTGGTTTTTATTATTGTGTTGGTTGTTTCTTGGGTAATTTCCTCTTGGGTTTTAGGTTTGAAATGGAGGTGGGATTTGGTATTGAGGATTGGAGTTGTACGATTGTTGAGCTTGTTGATTATTGTTGAGGTAAGTGAGCAAATCCGGGTGGTGGTTGCCTCCAAGCTACTCCACCGCCACTTCCCCTATATCCATCTTGTCTTGTGTTGTATGCCGCCACATGCTCGGGGCTTAAACCTCCACAATAAGATGTATCGTGGTTCGTTCCACCACAATTTTGACAAGAGAAAGAATTGACTGGAGAGGAGCTTGCCCCACTATTGACACTCGTATTTAACTTTGCAAGCCCTTTTGTCAAAAGCTCAATTTGATGTTGTAATTGATCAACCTTCTCCAATTCATACTTTCCACCCTTCTTTGGTGCATTCCTCCTTCTACCACCGCAAGAGTAGTTCTTCACTACCTCTTCAATTGTTGTTTCAACTTGATTTTGGGGGACCTTAATCAATTGTCCACCCGCCACCGCATCCAAGTTAGCTCTAGACATAGGTTCCAATCCATCATAGAAGAATCGCATGTGCAAGCTTTGATTGTATTCATGGTGAGGACATGCTTGTACCAACTCTTTGAATCTTTCCCAAGCTTCACTAAGAATCTCATCTGCTTCTTGTTCAAATGATACAATCTCCCTTCTCATTTCGGCGGTCTTTTCTTCGGAAATTAACCTCTTCAAGAATGCCTTGACTATCTCTCTCCATGTTGTAAGAGAATTTGGCTTAACTTGTTTGAGCCACTTCTTTGCCCTACCCGAAAGAGATTGTCGAAATAAGTGCATACAGATGTATTCTTGAGAAACTTGATTGGTTTGAATCATGGCACAAATCTCAAGAAATTTATCAAGGTGCTCAATAGGATCTTCACTTGGAGAACCTGAAAATTGTTCCGCTTGTACCATTCTAGTGTATTGAGGATGAATGGTAAAGTTGGTTTCCGTGACAGGTGGCAAAATCCCTCCTGTGAGCTCATAATCCTCAGGATTCCCAAACTCACGAAACAAAACATCATCTTCTTGTCCCACCATTTCCTCGCTTTGAGAATTTAAAGACCAAGAATCACTCTCACTAACAACAATAGCACCAAGACCTCGCCCCTCTTCTTGATAGAGTCTACGGACTTGTCTCAAAGTGCGGTCGATTTCGTGGTCAATGTAATGTGTAGGAGGTCCTTGAGATCTCCTTTGCATCCACCAAAGCTAAGCAAATAATTAGCAATGACTAGCAAGAGAGTAAAGGAACAAAATAAAAAGCAACAAATCCAATAATAACACAATAAGAGTGCAAAATAAGTCGTTTCCCCGGCAACGGCGCCAAAAATTTGATCGGAGGACAATAGGTCGTGTCTACTATCCTAGATCAAATCAACAATTTATATTCCTAACCTAACTCTATCAAGTTTACACTAGATAGTGGTAAGCTAGGGTCGAACCACAAGGAAATGGGGTATTGCACAATCAAGGTGAAATAAACAATCTATTGCAAGTAACAAGGGGTAAATTGGTTTGTTTTTTAGAATATCTAAGATTAAACTATCTACTAAGAAGTGATTAAAACAAGCAAATAAAGGAGTTAAACTAGAGCCACTAAAATAAAGGTGAAAGATAAGATTTTAATGGAAATATGATCAAAAACACTAGGGAGAAGGGGTTCCAATCATGATCTACTAAGATAACTATGATAATCATCATGGATTCATGCCAAGCAGTACAAACTCTACTCTAAATGATTCATTATCTTGCAATCACTCAAAGTAAGTCAATGAAATCGATCAAACCTAAACTAGATCATTCTCATGCATCTAATCTAGAACTCAAATATTTGGGCTAGAGGTGCATAACAATAGCACCAAACGCAATAAGCACAAAATCATCAATTCAAGGCAAAACCCAATCAATCATTAATATAAACTCAATCAATTATGATTTTCACCCCCTTCCCTAGCTAGAAATCTAAGCTAGCACTACTACAAATCCCGTCCTTTTGAGACGCTTTTTTCCATTATTTACGGCATTGAAAAGCGTTGCCATTTTTTTCTCGACGCTTTATAAAAGCGTCGAGAAAAAGTGAGTCGAGAAATTTGCGACTCTTTGGTGTCACAAATCTCGACACCTTTTTATGTCACAATATTTTGTGACGCTTTAAAACGTCGAGAATCTCGACGACTATCTATGTCCAAATTAACATACGAAGCGTCGACATTAGCTGAAATTGGCGCACTTTATTGACATTTTCGACACTTTTTGTTGTCTAAAAGCATTAAATTGGTGACGATTTTTGTGTCTAGAGTTTCAAACATTTGATATTCAATATTTTTGGGACGGTTTTTTCGTCTATATTTTCTACATTAGGGACATTTTTTCTTGTCCATATTATTAAAAAAAATATCTAAAATATATTTAACAAAAAAACGTGCGTTTCAATGAAAAAAAAATTTACCAAATAATTGGACCAAACTTTTTTTTTTATTTCATATAGGTATATTATAGTATATGTACAATATCTCACAGTAACGAGATTTCTATTACAACAGATATAATTCCAACTTATACTTCATTCGTGACTAGTTGTAGTGGAACAAATCTGCTCATTTCTCTCAAAAAATCTTCAATCAATCTCCAATTTAGCTGCTCCTTAATATACTTGCAAGAGGGCGTAAAGCAAAGTTCATGAAAAATGGAGGAAGAAAGGAAGAGTGGAAGCAACTGCCCTTGAAGGATGCCTGATGCAAAAAATAAAATAAAAAAAAGGTTAAAATTATCAACAACCTTATACTTGTAATCCTCAAATAGAAGTAGCTGCAGCAGGGAAGGAAGGAAGCGACTCAAAATTCCTTCCTGAACATTCTCCCCCGTATACCTTGACACCACTAGCAGCATGTGAGCCTAGACCCACCTTTCTAGCAATAGTTTCTTTATAATGAAATGAAGCAAAGGCTTTCAAAGCTCTCACGCACTCATAAAACAATTCAGAATCCCGCACCAAAACAAGGTAGAGGAACAGATGCATCAATGCCTGGTATATAAATAAGAAAACAGAACTTTATCAGTGGTTCTCCAACTATACTGAAGCTTAAAATGGCAGCCCTGCTAACAAAGTAATAATAAGATCTAGAAAAATTTCAATCTAAGATAAATACCTAACTTATTGGTGTATGCTTGCCTAACATAGAATGACATTCATGATATTCCAAAGTTAAAGCAAGCTATAAAGCTGGTTCAATAATATTCTTTTGGCCAAGTAAGTTTGTAGCATATCATATGTTATTGATAAAAAAAAGAACATAAAAAAGAAAACATATATAGTTATCATTATCAATCCAACAATTGGACACACCAAATCAATACTGATAGAAATCTGAACAAAAAGGCAAACTCGCCCAAATCAACAGGTTAGTGTGCGCTATCCATGCTGCTGTGACTCCGAACACAGCACCTTTAGATGTACCTTCAGGCTTTAGTCCTTTATAGGTATGTTTTTGTGTAAGACCAAAATGAAAAAAGACTTAAAGAAGATATTCAGCATAATCTATAAGAGTAGTTAAAAACAGTAAAAACTGATTTAACAATCTGATCAATACCCCCAACTTCACTACCAGATCTAAGATTAGTCACAACTTGATTTAGTAAGACTTTAAGTCAATTAAAAACTTGATTTATAAATTTAAAATTATAAAAGACTTAAGGAGCGTCTCAAGAACTAACTAGGACATAAAACTACAAATTTACTAGAATAAAATTTTGCAGCCAAAGCACATAAACTAATATGTAGATTTACGGCCAATATATGAGAAAAAAAAAAATTGAAGTACATACAATATTCATTTCATTAGATTGCTTGATAATAATTACGACATCAATATAAACTGCCCAGAACAATCCTTCGTATAGTTGTATATAAATTCTAACCAGAACAAACCAAAAAACATAAACAAATCTCAATTAGCTAGTTAGTAATTAGGTGTAGATATTCAATCTCAGAAAATCAAATCCGATTCAAACTTTAAAAAAGTTTAATCTAGCTTATAACTAAAAGAATTAACACTAACATTAAGTTTATCATCTCTACAAGACCACTAATATGAGAAAAAGCTACTGATCATTAAAGAAAAGAGCATTAAAAGTTAATTCAAATAATGAAAGTAGATAAAAGACAAATCTTACTTTATCTTAATCTAATATCTAACATACATTAAATCATTCCCATCTAATCAACATACACACAATTACAACTAAGTAATAATTCTATTAGTACTACTACTTGGATTATAATAACCAATATTGGAGATTAAAGTTCCAAAAATCATATAGCTGCTGAACATAAGAAATCAACGAGCGACTGGACAAGAAGATATTAATTGTAAGACAATAATCTACCTCATAATCGTGAATCATTTGCATGCCGATTCTAGATAGATAGTCTATAGCTGCTCCTAATTTAATGGCTTCACCAATAGCTAGTGTTCTAGCCTCAAATCTGAGCCAACAGAGTGAAATTTTAAATCACAATCATACATAAAAATAAAAAAATAAAGAATATGAAAGAAAGAAAAAAAAACTCAATCATGAATATTGGTGTATAAAAGCTAAGAATGAATATTTCGTAATATAAGCACCAAGATATTAAAGCTCAATGTCATCTAAGACAAAATTTATACACATAGTAAGCACTCTTCTTTTTTAGAAATTACATGAATAAATCACCTAAAGTGTAAAGAGATTAAAGACAATTCATTAACAAGTAAGAATAAGTAACCTCTCACATGGAGTACCACACCAGTACACCACCCCTCACAAAAAGGCAAGCTCTCTGGCTTGGGAAATTTAATCATATCTCACACCCCACCTAGTCACCTACTCCTTTTCCCATCTACCATAACCACACATAATAACTAACAACATCAATAAAATACAAGTACTTGTCAAATAATGAGCATATATCAGATACTACACTAACAATACTTGCTCAACCTGTACACCAAATCCGAGCAATGGATACACTTGATCCTAAAAATCATAGGTGATTCAAACAAATCATTGCATGAGCAAAAATATACAATCTCAGAGCATTTCTTCTACATAAGTATTGCTCTATATGAAAGCGACATAGCAGATTTTGCACAAGATAAACTAAATAAAACATTAATTTACAAGATTTACAATAATTTGCAAATAGTTAAATCGATTCCTGAAACTACAAAGTAGGAAATTTTTGGAAATTTGGCAAACTATAATGCACATCATTTGTATCAGCTTAATTAAATACAATAAATCGAAAAAAGAAACAAAAAATCAATTACCCATCTAAGCAAATTTATTATTTCAGTTAGGGGGTGGGGTGCATTAGCTTTAAAAACTCTGCAACTGCAACTAAACAAAGTACATTTGATCACTTTTAGACTCGCCGAGAAGGGCACTAATATTTGATTCAATGTGAGCCTCTGGTCTTCCAAATGCGTAGCAGAAACATAATTCTCCTAGTGAATAAGGGCTGGAACACCCTTGAGCTAAATCCTTGACCCTCCAAGGATAAGTTGGCCTATTTCCTGCATAAGCTCTCAAAAGTGTAGCCATTACTAAAATCCAATATCAACATTAAAGCAACAGAGAGTAGTAGAAGGGTTATTTGTCAGCCAAAACAAGGATGCAATTAGATTTGATATTTCCAACTTCCTCTTTAAATTTATTGAGCACCTCATTGAAGCTTGCTACTGTAGGATCCAATATCTTTAACCCCCTCTTTTTTTCCTGATAATTTTCTCAAAAATATTAGAATAGTGACAATGTATCTTATCTTCTATAAAAAATTTAGAACAATGGCAAATGATTTTGTTTTGAAATGCGCAAAGATATAAAAAAAATAGAATTTCAATCAAAACACACAAATATAACCAAGAGGCTTCAATTCTCACTTCAAACCCAATAAGCCTACAATAGCAACGTGAAATTTGTTAGGAACAACAAAAATAGACATAAACATCAATAACCCGACTCATAAAAAAATAAAAAAGGAACGCTTAAAAAAACTGTAATATCAAAAAATGTTCCCCTTTTTTTTTAGCTTAGAAAACCCCATGAGCAGTAGTAAGCATAGGAAGCAACAACATCTAAGCAGAGGAAGCAGCAGCAGCATCAAGCATAGGCTGGTGGCAGGCTGGCAGCAGCATCAAGCATAGGCGGTGGCAGGCTGGCAGCAGCATCAAGCATAGGCGGTGGTAGGCTGGCAGCAGCATGTAGCAACGTTAAGCATAGGTAGCAACAGCTTCCAACAGTATCAATAGCAGCAAGATTTAATCACATACAAGGGAAAAATGAACGCATAAGAAAATAGTAGCAGCAAGAAACACGGGAATAAAAAGTGCAATAATATTTTCAAACACCCTCAATATACCCTAAATGACACAAGAAATCCCTACAGAAAATTACAGAACAACTCTATTAAAATCCCACCCAAACAGCAAGAATAAACCAATTCGAACCAAAACAGACCAGTCGGAGCTCAGTTTAATAGCAAATAAACTCCAAAAATTCTGAAATTTTAAAGGCAAAAAGTAGACAAAAAAACACCCAAACTCAAAAAAAGAATCACCTAAAAAGCTTCTCTAACGAAGGAGAACGAGCCAAACAAAGTCAGCACTCACAGCAGCTCCTACGAAAATCAATGCGAAGTGTGATGGAATTGTGAGACGAAAACAATGCGATCAAGCTCATTTAAAAACATGAAATAAAAGGCTAATATTCTAAATTGAATTAAACCAGAAGCACAAAATGAAACATAACAGAACCCTAAAATCTCAATTACTCATGAAGCTAACCCATATCTAAACATAATCTGTTAGATTATTGAAAAATATAACATTAAAAACAAATTTGGTCTGTACCTTAATATTATCGATCGGCACTCAGAGGGACGACATTGATTACAATTTTGGATCAAGATCTATAAATTGATTCAAAGAGAGATGAAGATCTGAATTTTAAATTGATTTACCTAAAATTGAAATTGAATCCAAGAAGGACAAAGATCTGAAATTGAAATTGATGTACCTCAATTTGAAGAATCTGGTTCACAAAATGATCTTCCTCACATTGAAATTACTTCGAGAAAAACAAAGATCTGAGATTGGAAACAATGGTTCCATAAGTGTCTTTGTAGAATTCGGATTGAAAGAGAGAAGAGTAGAGTTCGGATTGTAACTAGAGGTTTTTGTTTTTGTGTTTGTGTTCTTGTTCGGTGGTTTCATTTACCCTAAATTCTACCATTGAGGGTTTCTTGCAGTCACGTGTGGGGCACGTGTTATGTTCTCGACGCTTTTTAACGTCGAAAATAATTTCGACATGCAAAAGCGTCGAGATAATACGCATAGTATAATTAATAGTTAACGCTGCTTGCCTAGCGTCGAAGGTCCAGCGTCGAGAAAATGCTCTTTTTGTAGTAGTGTAGAGAAAGGAAACTAGCCATATCAACTACACTAAACATGTATTCAATCCCAACAAAACTAAACATGATTCAAAACCAAAGGAAAGGCAATAAAATAAGTAAAAGCAAGAATCTTTATGGAAATAAACACTATTAAGAGCAATAAAACCAAATAGAAGATAAGGGATAAAGAGATTACTATTGTTAAACTTGAAGGATTAAGCAAACATGGACTAGTTGTATTGAAGAGATGATAGCTTGAAGAAAACTTGAAAATATCTTGATTACAACAATGAAAACTTGAAGGTTAAGCTACTTTCTCTCTCTAGAATGTTGATGCTCTCTCTCTACAATGTTTTTCAATGGAATAGTGAATGATAGTCCCTAAAGTTCTCATGAAATTCAAGCTAAAGGCTATATATAGTTTCTTGATAAAACAAAGGAAATGGGTGAGGGAGAGGCCTCTCCAGCAAGGCTGCCGCGCCCTCTCTGTTGTGGGTACGTAGTTGCCAAAACCCAGCTCGCCGCGCCCGCGGCCACCTATGCCGCACCCGCGGCTAATAGAGTCGCGCCCTCTCTTTGCCATCTCCCAGCCATCTCTAGAAACTGGGTGTTCAACTAGTGACAAATAAGGGGGAATTCTCTAGTGAAAAAGGGTGAAATGGTGGCGTAAACGCCACTCATCATGCACCACACGCACCACCGGTGTGTGCAGACGTGAGGGGAGAGAAGAGAGTGAATGTGTGAGGCTTTAGGGTTTGGTTGCTAGTGTAACATCATAGAAATTCCTTTCCTTTGAAATACCTGTTTTACTCTTTTAAAAATACGAATTAGGAGATTCTAAGACATTACCGCCACCGTGAAAACGGATAAGGCAATTATCAAAGACTCACAACGGAAGACTCACTTCAAAAATCATTCAAAACAAGTTAACTTAAAAAGTCAAACCAAACGAAAGTAAAGTCAAACCAAAGTTAAACGAAGTCAACCTACAACTTGGAACCATTGTAGGCCCTTATCAACCCAATACAAATTTTAAAAAAACCATTGTTTTAGTCTCACAAGCAAAATATATGATAATCAAAACAATAAACCACATCATATTCTTATAGAAACTAAGCATGACTCGCTCTTCACTCATGTCCATCATGAATATGGTTCATCACCTGAAAAGCTTCTTTTTTACTTTGTCCCCACTACTCGCCATTAAAAATGGGTCGCCGTAGGGCCAAGATAAAGACAAGGCCAAACAAACATACAAACACACAATCAGCAATGCTGAGTACATAAGCGTAAACAGTACACACTAACATGCTTTCATCCTATCAACACACAACTTACCTTGTTGCACCTATTACAAGCATACAACACGACCAACCAATAAATAGCTAAATAAATTTCTTATTTAATTTGATTACGCATCGAATAGGTTTCCCACCAAATCTCTGCCCTAAATAAATTGAAGTAAACTACACCGGAAGCTAACCGGGTAAGCAAATGCCACATGAAAGTGAGTGGATGTCCTGCGCATATAATAATAAAGAAAAATACAGCGTCCTGTAATTCCAGTAGAAGTTATGGTCAAATATAAAGACGCATAACTCCCCCTATATGTTCATACTCAAGGTATACACGTTCCAAGAGTTTTGGTGCGTAATCTCTTTCACTTTACGTGATTTACATATTTTTAGACTTAGTGATGACTCTCAAACCATAATACAATCAATCATAATAAATCAGTCAAGCAATCAAACACGCCAATTTAATTCTTTAATAATTAGTGACCACATAAATTTAATGTTGAATCCTTTTTAAACTACCTCGGCGTTAAATAACACCTTAAGCGCATAAAGCAACGCAAATCCTATCCTTCGGTGTTTAGAACACCTTAAGTGCACTTAGGAACCGCGATACATTTTATTCTTGTGTACTAGGACACTTAATAGCTTAACTTCCATGCTTAAAGCATCAATAAAAGTTATATGAACCATAATAAAATTCTCTTTTTATATTCCAAACCAAATTAAACAATTAGTTTAATTAAACATGCTCTCAATCATGCCAATAATAAAAGTGTGGTTCATATTCAAAATGCCAACATAATTAATTCCAATCATCAATTCACCACAAATAATTCATACTTCACAAATTAATCACCAACATCAATCCAATCAACAATTCCAACCAATACCTATCATGATACTACCTTGGAATTAATTAAACAAAGGCCTAGCATGCTTCTATACACTTAAGTAATTACCGAGTACGCGAACATACCTCGAATATGATCTCAAAATCGCCACGACTACACGAAATCACTCACTTGGAAATCTCCTACAACCCAAAATTACAAAGAGACATTAATACCTATTCAATATAAATTTCCATCAATATCTACACTCTTTAAATCACTTATAAACCCTCTAAAACAAGCTGAAAATTAATATAAAACCCCTACTTTTATTCCCAATTAATGGGTAATTAAAAATCCTTTCTAGAAACATAATTCTAACCTTTATATAAAAATTCCAGCTTTATAAAAACATGTAAAATTGTTGTAATTATGTTTAAAAACACCTATTTCAATAATTCCAACCAACCCCAATCAATTTCCATCAATATTCATTAATTTAGAAACCTAAGGTTTTCAATTTGGGGATTTTAAATTCAAAAACCAAATCTGAAATTTATATACATAATAATCATAATCAAACATCATAAAAATCATCACAAAACCCAAAAATAATAATAGAATTAAGGCTAGATTATAAATTAAAACAAAAAGAGTTTTTTTGTTTTTTTATAAAAGCCGCACCACACGACAGGGAGGGGGTTGTTGCTGCTTGCAGCGGTGGCCGGCCGGTGGGAGGTGGTGGTGGCGGTCGGCCACCTTGTGTGTGCGTGTGGGTGTGGGTGTGTAAAAATAAAGGGGAGGGGGAAAAATTAAGGGAGAGAAATCAAGAGGAGAGAGAGAGAGAGAGAGAGTTTACCTTTGGGTATTTTCCACCTTGGGCAAGATCTAACTTGCTCATAAATGGGTATTTATACCCCTTCTCAAAACCCTCCTAACCTTAAATTCCCTTTCTACCCTTAATTATTCCTTCTCCTATTCAAACTAGTCATTTAACTTTCTTTAAATACAATTGAGTTTGAATTTCCTTTTATAAAATAATATGCCCTAAAGTTTCTAAATAAAAAAATAAAATATTTTCAAAGCAATTAAATAAATAAAAATGAACCTTTAATTAAAATAAACCTTTTTAAATTAATACAATACCATAAATAATTCATTTCGAATTATTTAAATATTTTATAAAATAATAGTTTAAATTAAAATACGTATAAAAATACAGGGTATTACAGCTAGCTCTTCAATTCTCAATTGACTGCCAATTGTGTTGTATATCAAACCCTAGGCAAGACCTCTATTTATACATCACATGTATAATTAGAGTCCAAACCAAGCCTAAATTACTCCCTCTTTAATCCCATATGGCCGGCCACTCCATGAGGCCTAATAAATGGCTTCTTTCTTATGTTCAATACGTCACCCTTGTGTGTGACTTTATAGGATCCATTTTATTGGGCTTGGACTATTTGAATAGCTTAAAGATCATTTATCATATCTAGCAACAGACAATGACGACCCAAAAGAATGAACTAATTATCTCCATAATAATGATCTTTGATATATCTAGTAATTTCACTTGACGAAGACATAAATCCTTCATAAATTTAGTCAACTTCTGGATTTTCTTCGAGCAGGAGGTTCTTCAAATAATGATGATGGTTCAGGATGTGAAGGTGCATCAAAAGTGAAGTAAGTACAGCTCGATCTTTCTGAATTATCGTTTTTCTCCCTGAATTCACATTTAGTTAACTATAGTTATTTGTTTGAGAGTTTTCTTGCGTTAATTTACTTAGACAATAATATGTTGTGTAACCTTGACATAATCATGATCAATGTATTCCTAATGACCTGACTTTTCAGTAACTTCATATCATACCCTTCTTCATCTGTTGAACACTTGCAAACATCTCCTAGGACTGATTATATATCCTTAATATTTCGAGTAATAATCTGACTGGTTTACTGTCAAATGATTTTCTGAGTCCAACCTATAGCAGTAGTAGTATTAGTAAATTGCAAGGCCACTTCCGTTTTTCAAGGCCAATTATGCTAATTCTTGCTCTAATCTTCAGACTTGTTAGTCTTGTGGGGGAGTTTGAGAAAGAAAATGAAGTTTCCCTACAGAGCGGACTATACAATCCAAGACTACTCCACAAATGAAGGAAAAATCGAGCTTTGGAATCCTAATAGCTGACATTCTCCACTTGTCTTCTCTTTGTTCTTCTATCTCTTTCTCTCATATTGGCATATCTGGTAATGTGGTAGCTCACAAAATGACTCATGTTTGTAAGGATTTTAATGACATGAGGGTGTGGTTTGAAAAAAAAAAACCCCTTGTGTCACCCCTGCTGTAATCTTGGGCTTAGTCAGTTTAAATGATAATTAGTGTTTCCCTTGGCTGTCAAAAAATGTTGGTCCTTTATGTGTAAAAATAAACATATATAGAAGTATATAATCAACTTCCAAAGAAAGTGTGCAAGGAAAGCATAGAGGTTTCTATCTGTTGGTTATATTGTTTATAATTTATAGTTTATTAGGATTTTATAATAATTTTTATAACTAATTCTTTTTGTTTTTCATTCTTGTAGGTAAAAAGAAGAATGCAAATCACAAGATATACTACTAATTATTTTTATCAAATTACATATAATGTAATATTTTTATTTT